GAAAGGAGACAGAGGCGACTAACGATTCGTTGCAGTTCAAATTTATCTTCTTCCTTTGACTGTGAAGCTTCAGCCTTCTGGTGACCAACTGAGAGAGAGAGAGAGAGAGAGAGAGAGGCAATGACAAGGGACACCAACGGTGTATATTAAGATTTTTTTATTCTTAAAAGATGTGTACGGAGAATTTTTCTATATAATATTATGAGTGTTGCTGGATGTTTATTATGGTAAGTTTTACTTAGGATATAATTGTTATTAAATTAATATTTCATTAAATATGTACCTTAAACTAATCAAGTGTGTGAAAATAAAATTTCTCACTATTTCTGTGGGGACATATTCTATGAATAACAGGACGTGGCTGAGGTGACGTCGAAGTGTCAGCAGAGGCGCCACGTGGCCTAGTCATGATGCTGAGATAATCTCGGCTAGACCGAGGTTATATCCGGAGAATCCTCATCAGAATTCTGGTCTAGCCGAGATTATGTCCAAAGATAAGGCTCAAGAAGAGTTTATCTCTATTTACATGAAGGTCCAAGATGAGCATTGAGCCTGAGTCCATTGAAGTAAGGCTTCTAAAGGAATCAGGTCACTGCTGGTTATAAAAGCAAGGCACCCTTATGGGTTTGAAGTAGGTTCTTTCTAGTGAGTTTAAGAACAATTTGCTATCTTTGAGGGATATTGATTACTGACTTGATGTCGGAGTGGCCCGGGTGTATAAACCACCGTCGGATTCTCATCTTCTTGTGCAGGTTGTTGGGCTTAATCTATTCTATCAGTGTTCTCCAGTTGAGTTCCCCGTTTGGTTTTTTGGTTAGAAATCAACACCGACAATTTGACACCGTTTGTGGGAACTTAAGGAGAATAGATGGTCAATAACGAGCAGGAAGAAAAGATTGGGGATGAAATTAACAGTGAGAGTTGTGAACATAGAGATCCCAACGTCAGGAAAGAAAATCGTAATGAGGAAGCAGAGGATCCGAATCTTGGGGAGAAGGACGTCGGCAAAGAGGGGATTGCCCCGAAGAAAGCTGGCCGAGATGAGTACTACAACGAGTGCGACCTCCAGGTATGGAAGGATTGATGCCTGATGAGGGATGACGAGATGAAAGGGATAGCGAACAAGTTGGTAGACTTACTATCGGTTGTTAACTTCATGATACAAAACAACGTGATGCAACCACCGTTCCCGTTACAGGACACGCTGGTACCAACAGCCAAGACTGACGCCCAAAAAGGAGGGCAGAAAACAATCCCAGCAGTCCCGTAGTATGGCAAGGAAAAGAAGCACTCCTATCGGCTTTCACGGGATATCGGGTGAGTAGAGTCGGTGAGAGGTGAGTCACAAAAGATACCACGAACCAAGGGGACCTACGTCAAAGAGCCTCGGTATACCCAAGAGAAGGGACTATTCTTTGATACAGTGAATGAAGAGAAGTCCAAGAAGACGCACAATGAAGCTAAGAGCAGCGTACCAAAAAGGCTAAAATCTATTGATAGTCGAGCTCTCGGCTGAATGAAGAAGGATTTGAGGGACTACCTTCAGAGGAAGTGACTCTACGCCGAGGTAACATCCCCCGTCAAACCGAGAACGCCGTTCTTAGTGGAGTTAGATTGATTTGAGGCCCCAAAGAGATTCCATATGCCGAGGTTCTAGGTTTACGAACTTGCTTCAAACTTTCATGTTGGCTTGTATTTAAATTTAATAGCTTTATATAGCGGGAACGACCAGTTGCTGTGCAAGATGTTCCCTTCATCCTTTGGGGAAATTGCATCGGATTGGTATCATAAGTTGCCGAAAAAAACTGTAAAGAGTTGAGAAGGCCTGGCCAAAATGTTTGTGGCCAGGTTTGTAACAAACAAGTTGCAGCCACTAAGGGTAGACTCCTTGCTAGTTTTGAACATTAGCGAGGGTGAAAGCCTTAGGGCTTATGCCAAACAGTATTATGAGGTGTTCAACCGAATACCGGCATGTAACCAGGAGTTGGCGGTCGTATCTTTAAAAAACGGCCTAGAGGATGAATGCACGCATCGAAAGTCACTTGTAAAAACTCTACCAAAGAGTATGGAGGAGCTTATGGTACGAATTGAGAAGTATGCCAAAGCAGAGGAAGACACACATGGAGCAAAGGTACTAAAGCAGGAGAAGAGAAACGGTTCGCCGAAGCGAGGCTGAGGTAACACTGGTTTCAACAGGCAGGAGACATGATTGAGGGTTGCACAGGCAATCACCACTGTATTTAGGATCCCAGCCTACAAAGTTCTAGAAAGGATTAGAAACCAATCGTATTATAGAGTGCCGAAAAAAATCCCTGGCGAGTTTATGGGAATGAGCCTTGGGAAGCATTGTGCTTACCATAATGAGGATGGGCACTTGACTCAAGGATATAGGGCTTTGAAGACACACTTAGAGGATTTGATCAGATAAGGTCACCTGAGAGACCTAGTAGATGAGGCCAGGACAAGCGAAGAGGAAGCAAGGCTACCCCAAGCACCGGTAGCACCACCTCTACCGTCGCCACAGTAACAAGCGGAGGGACCTCGGGTGATCAATGTGATTCACTCGAAAGTGAATGAGAATGATGTACGATGAGAGACTCAAAGAGTAAGGCACCTGTAGTATGTGTATCAGGTCCAGCAAAAGAAGCCTAGGACAAATGAGTACCAGGGCCCAATGGTTTCTTTTACTGAGACAAACCTAGATTTGGTACAGCATCTACACAACAATGCCTTGGTGATAACGCTGAAGGCCGGGGAGTGCCAAGTGAGGCGCATACTAGTTGATCAAGGCAGTTTTGTGACATCATGTATATTAAGTGTTAAAAGGAACTTGGCTTTCACCCAAATGATCTGGAGCAATCCAACAGCCCAATGGTTGGATTCAATGGAACACCGATGTGGCCTCTAGGAGCCACAAATTTGGAGGTGTAGGCAGGCACAAAGAAGGTAAGCATAGAGTTTACAGTGATTGACACCCCCTCCCCTTACAATGTTATCTTGGAAAAACCGTGGTTGCATGCAATGAGGGCTGTCCCCTCAACATTGCACTAGCTCATTACGATTTCCAACTGAACATGGGATTATGAGGTCAGAGGGGATCAGGGGCAAGCAAAAAATTGCTCCATGGTAGCAATGAAGTCCACCTGCAATGTGCGAGAGGCAAAGACAGTGGAAGGAGGTCCTAAATGACGTCGGTAAAGAACCAGCTGACAAGAGTGAGGAAGCTTTGAAGAAGGTTTTGGTCCAAGAAGATGATGGAGAGCGCTTCTTTCTTCTCAACTCAGGCTTGACCGAGGAGGAGGAGAGGGAATTGGAGTCTTTCTTGGAGCAAACATAGAAGTGTTTGCCTAGACGCTCTATGATGCCAGGCATCAACCCCGAAGTCACCTGCTATAGGCTCAATGTAGATAGATCGGCAAAACCTGTCATCCAGCGGGCAAGAACGCCAACATTGATTCATGTGGAGGCAGTAGAGGAGGAAGTGGACAAGCTGTTGGAAACTAAGGCCATTCAGGAGGTGAACTGCCCAACTTGGCTATCCAACACAATAGTTGTGAAAAAGAAAAACGGTAAGTGGAGGGTCTACGTGGACTTCACCAGCCTGAATAAGGCTTGTCCCAAAAACAACTTCCCTCTGCCTAAAATTGATCAGCTGGTGGATGCCACTTCAGGGCATGAGAGGATAAGCTTTCTAGGCACTTACAAGGGACACAACCAGATAGCAATGTATCCCCTTGACGAGGAGAAGAGTACATTCATCACCCTAAAAGGGTTGTACAGCTAGAGAGTGATGCCTTTCATGTTGAAAAATACAGGAGCAACCTACCAGAGGTTAGTGACCAGGAGATTCAGACATTTGATTGGAAAAACAGTAGAAGTGTACATTGATGACATGGTCATGAAGACCAAAGAACCTGGGAATCATCTGGCCGACTTGAAGGCAGTCTTTGACATCCTAAAAACATATTAGCTCAAACTCAATGCTTTGAAATGTGTATTTGGAGTCGGGTCTGGTAAGTTCCTAGGATACTTGGTCACTGGAAGGGGCATAGAAGCAAGCCCAGATCAAATCAAGGCCATTATTGATTTAAAGAATCCAATATTAGCCAAGCAGGTCCAAATTTTGACCGACAAGGCAGCAGCCTTGAATAGATTTTTCAGTCAAAGTTCTGATAAGTATAAACTATTTTTTTCAATTGTTGAAGAAAGCCACAGATTTCTTGTGGACAGAAGAGTGCGAAGTAGCATTAGCGGACTTGAAAAGGTGCTTAACAACAGCTCCAGTTTTGTCAAATCCAATACCTGGAGAGGAATTGTTCTTATACTTGGCAATTTCAGACCACGCAGTACGTGCAGTGGTAATCCGTGAAGAGGATGGAGAACAAAAAGCGGTATACTATGTGAGTAAAACCCTAGCAAGTGCAGAAATTAGGTACTTGCCCCTGGAAAAGTTGACACTAGCCCTGGTGATGACTTCCAAAAAATTGAATCACTATTTCCAAGCCCACAAGATTGTGGTGCTGACTGAGCATTCCTTGAAATCTTTATTGCAGTATGGAGATTTGACTGGTAGAGTAGCCAGCTGGGCAATGGTCTTGGGCCAACATGATTTGGAATTTAGGCCTAGAACGGCGATCAAGGGCCAAGTTCTGGCCGACTTTGTGGCCGAGTTCACCCCTAGTGCCATTCCACGCTGGGTTTCGATGAGCTAAGGTTTAGAATGTCCAGGGCAACTAGAAGAAACCTAACTAGGGCGAAAGAACCCCACTCCAACAAAACAGAAGAGGGAAGAGAAACCAAGGCCATGCTACATCTACATCGGCAACTCTTTCCGCCTGTTTGTTGATGGAAGTTCAAATCATCAAGGAGTAGGGGCAAGAGTGGTTTTGGTATCGCCAGATGGGCGAATGATTGAGTAATCTATTCGTTTGGGGTTCAAGGCCTCGAACAATGAAGCAGAGTATGAAGCGTTGATTATAGGACTAAAACTAGCAGCAATCATGGAAGCCGATGATGTGGTAGTTTTCTGTAACTCCCAACTTATTGTGAATCAAGCAATGGGCGAGTATACAGCCCAAGATGAAAGAATGATAGCCTATGTCAAGGAGGTTGTTAAGTTGATAACACCGTTTGAAAATTTCCATATACAGTAGGTTAGCTGAGATGACAATAGCCATACCGACGCCTTAGCTAACCTGGCCAGCGTTATGAAATCAGGTGAGGCTAAGATAATAATGGTTGATTATTGGTCAGGCTCAAGTGTAGAGACTCTAATAACAAAGTACGAAACAATGTGCGTGAAAATGGGTCCTAGCTGGATAGACGCCACAATTATGTTCCTCAAAGAGGGTAGAATGCAAAAGAATAGAAAAGAGACACACAAAACCAGGTTAAAGTCAGCCAGGTTCTGCCTGTTAGCAAAAGGCCATCTGTACAGAAGATCCTTCACTGGACCTCCACTCCGATGTATGCATCCTTCTCAGGTAGAGATGACTTTTTATATGAAATCCATGAAGAAGTTTGTGGAAGCCATGCAGAGAGTAGGTCACTTGCCTATAGAGCCATATCCCATGGATACTGGTGGCTATACATGCAAAAGGATGTTGAAGCCTATGTCAGAAAGTATAAGAAGTGTCAAAGGTTTGCACCTTTGATACATCAGCCAGTAGCAGATCTGAACCCAGTGTCTAGTTCTTGGCCATTTGCCTAGTGGGACATGGACCTAGTGAGACCACTGCCGCAGGCAACTGGACAAAGAAAGTTCTTGTTAGTAGCCACAAACTACTTTACATAATGGGTAGAGGCTGAACCCCTCACAAAGATTCGAGATATTGATGTGAAAAACTTCATCTGGAAGAACATAATCACTAGGTTTGGGATTCCAAAAGCCATTATAGCAAACAATGACACTTAGTTTGACAGTAAGTTGATTAGCAAAATATAAGATCAAAAACCATTACTCTACTTTTAGTTTTTCCCAGAGAATGGTCAGGCAGAAACAACCAACAAGACCATTTTGGATGGAATCAAGAGGAGGTTGGAAGCAGCTAGAGGCAAGTGGGTGGAAGAATTGCCCAATGTTCTGTGGGCATATCAAACCATACTAAAAAGATCAACTGGGGAGTCTCCTCTTCCTATGACATATGGCACTAAAGCAGTCATCCCACTAGAGATCGGCATCCCTAGAATTAGAACCCATGAGTTGGAGAATAGGACCAACGAGGCATTCTTGGCTCGAGATCTGGACCTGTTAGAAGAAAAAATGGAGAGAGCAGCAATTCGACTGGAGGCATACCAGCAGTAGCTCGCTAGGGCTTACAACAAGAAGGTTAACCCAAGAGAACTCAAGGTTGGGGACCTCGTCTTGAGAAAAGTTGTTGGCAACAAGAAGAATCCTAAGAAGTTTCGGTCCCCGAACCTCCGTTTTGCATCCGTTTTGGTTCATTTTTGGTGGAGACCTTATTTTCATTGTTAGAAAGCTTGTAGGAGGGTGGGAGGCCAGTAATTGTTCTGAAAAGCCAGTTTTATTTCTTCATCGCTCTCTGTCGCCCGTTTTTCTCACTAGAAAGCTAATGTTGACCACCCCGGGGCCACTTTCTTTAGCCCTAAACCCCAATGACAATGTTTCCAAATGAAACATGACGAATAACTTAGACTTATCATATGGTAGAGTTCAATTATACTTACCATATAATAGAGTTGAACAAAGTTGGCATTGTTTCCGAATGAAACATGACGAATAACTTAGACTTGCTATATGGTAGAGTTGAACTAAGTTTGATCTAGTCGGATTAACAGAGACGCTGAAGTTAAAAACCTCGGCTAAGTTTTGTTTGAATCGGACGTCCGCAAGAATTGGAGTTGCATGCTTAATGTGAACATAAGTGGTACTTAGGTTCAGATTAGGGGGTAGGAAGTAGGAATAGGCTTGACACTTATTGAAATTTCCTAGGCTTGACATTGTTAAAAATTTTTGAAAAAATTTTACAAGTTGGAGTCAGCCAGAGTAACCAGATAAAGGGATACTTGAGATATTTTCTAGTCGAGATAATCAAATAGGTTAACAAACTTGGAAGGGTGAAGTCCTTGAGCGTTATCAAAAGAATTTTAATAAAGAGCTCGTTGGCTAAGATCACAGTAAAAGGTAAACTCCGAGGTAAGCTGGTCCAAGGTGACCAACTAAGAGTGGATCCGAGGTGATATATGTTAGATATGTTCCAACTTGAAGTGATTATATAGTTAAGGTATACTTGTAAGAATTGCAATATTATTCTTAGTATGAAAGCATACAAAGTAGTGAAGACAGATAAAGCATGCATGAAGAGAGCATTCAACATTTAGTCAAAAAGAGAACTTGCATTCAGAAGAAGAAACTTGATTCACAGACAAAAAGCCACTTCGGCCTGGTAAAGAAAAGGCTTGTTCAAACTACAAAGCATCGGGCACGTCGGCCAAAATGAAGCTAACATTGTTTAACTCAAAAAGTTACAAATGCAAGAAAAAAAAGTGCAAAATAAAGGAAAAATCCTAAGTGCTGGAGATATTGGCATTGATCTCGGATTGCTCAACCTCTGCTACTAGCGTTGTGTCGGCCTCAGTTGGCAATGTTGCGTCCTTCTTCGCTGCTATCTCGGAGTCTATTTAAAGAAGGGTTTGGTTTAAGCTATTTTCGGTTGTCGGGACCTTGACCTCAGATGTTGTTTGTTTAGGAGAGGCACCTTCGGAAACTAGGTCCTCCTCATCATCATGAGTCAAGTTTAGTATTTCATCATTCAAAGCGGCAGATTTGGCTCCAGTGGTAGCTTTCATCTCGTCGTCAGCCTCTTTATTGGCTTCCTCCTCGTCGACTTCTTTATCTGACTCTTTGGAAGTTAGAGGAAAGGGCACTTGGAGTTGGTTAATGTCTCGCATGGGGAAATCCATTGGGATAGAGAGTTTGTTTAGAGCTACCATCCAGTTGAGATAAAATCCTCGGTTGTAGGCTTGGTTGACCTGGGATTGGTATGCATCGCGGACGGCGGCCTGCTATAGACACCCCATTTTTGACCGACCTTAAGACTCAGACTTCACCAGTTGAGCGCTCGGTGATATTGCATATTGTGCTTGTTCAGAAGTATCAGAGTCCTGGCTGCAAGCCTTGCCTCCGGACTTCCGGACTCTTTCGTGCCTTGCCTCGGTTTGTGAATCAGGCTCTGTTTTCTCTGTTTTCCAAATAGAGGGAGAGGTCTCGTAGATCATCTCTCAGTGGCTATAGGCTACGTTTTGTGGTCATAGGCCATTTTTCCCGTTTGGAGCTCGGTTTCCGTTTTTTTCGGAGCCGACGGCCGTGTGCCTCTGTTCGGGACCGCCTAACCACCTCCGTTTGCTTCGATTTTTGGTATACACCTTATTTTCTCCCTTTTGAGGAACACTGTGGCCCAGGAGACCAACTTCGTGGTCGAACGCCACCTCCAGTGCTTAACAGCCCATTTTCGGGGCCCCGGGCCGCGCGTTTCGGTCCCTGAACCTCCGTTTTGCATTCTGTTTTGGTTCATTTTTGGTGGAGACCTTATTTTCATTGTTAGAAAGCTTGTAGGAGGGTGGGAGGCCAGTAATTGTTCTGAAAAGCCAGTTTTATTTCTTCATCGCTCTCCGTCGCCCGTTTTTCTCACTAGAAAGCTAATGTTGACCACCCCGGGGCCACTTTCTTTAGCCCTAAACCCCATATTTGTGTTTTACACACCTGGGAGGCCACCAATATGTATAGGCCGGCCAGTAATTGTCCTTGAACCTTTTAAATCCCTCTAAAAAGTTGGCTTTTCTCCCTCCTGGTTCACTTTTTTTGGGTTTTGACCACATATTTGTGTTGTGCACACATGAGAGGCCACCTTTTTGGGGTGGCCGGCCAGCAATTTTCATTGACCCTTTTGACCCCTGGCCGGCCGGCCAGGGGAGGTGGCCGGCTGGCCACTTGAACCTCTTCTACCTGGCCGGTCATTCTTCTCTCTCTTGGTACATTACAGCTGTGCCAGCTGTTTTACACAAAACCCCTGCCCGAAGGTCTGCCCTTTTGGGGGAAAATTTGAATTGGTTTTCCCCCCCCTTTCCTCCACTCCTCCCTCTATAAAACCAGCACCCCAGCTCCATTTTGAGGGGTGACAAATTCTTGTTTAGAACCTTGCTTACATCTCTCCATTTCCCTCTCTTCCAAGCCTCAAAACCCTAAAAGCCTTGCACCATTTACACACCAACCCATAGCTCCACACATCTACACTCCATTCTAGCCTTTTGAAGCTGATTTCCAGAGGCTAGGAGCTCCTCTTCTTGGTTCAAAGGCTGCTGGTTCATTGCTCTTCAAGGGTACGCACACTTTTCCCCTAAACTAGTCTTTTCTTGCTTCATTTATAAGCCTTGCTTGAAAGCATTTTTGGGCTCCGACCCAAACTGTAAATAGTCATATTTTGTGCTCATCTCCATGTTTGATTAAGGGTCTTTCTCTGTTTGAGGTCTCCTTCTCACCCTTTGTGTTTAAACTCTCTTTTAGGCCTATTTTTGCATGATATTTTAGGCTTATTTGTGTGCTGTTTCGGACTTGGTCATAAATTGTGAAATGTCTTGTTTTGAGCCTCTCTTCAACTTTGTTGAAGGGCTCTCCTCTATTTGAGGCCAGAAGCTATCACTTGTCTCTTTATCCCTCTTTTAGGCCTTTTTCTTGCATGATATTTTAGGCCTACTTGTGATTATTTTAGAAGCTTGAAATAAACTGTAAATTGCCTTGTTTTGAGCCCCTCTTCAGCTTTGTTGAAGGGCTATTCACTGTTTGAGGCCAGCTGCTGTCCCTTGCCTCTATTCTCTCTTTTAAGGCCATTTTTGCATGATAGATTAGTCTTACTTGTGTTTGTTTTTGAGAGTTGTCATAAACTGAAAAATATCTTTTTTTAATCTCATCTTCAAGTTTGTTTAAGGTTCAATTTTTGTTTGAGGTCATAAGCCTTACACCTAAGCCTTTGTTACATGCTTTGTTTGGCCTTCTAGCCACTGAAATCCAGTGGATTTTCAGTGGCTAAGACACTGTTTTGAGCTTCCAAATCAGAGAGGGGTGACCCCCTCTCTCCTTGACTTGTTTGGTGGTCATTTTGGCCTTCTAAAGAGACCCTATCTTGCATGCTTTGAAGCCACTTTTTAGGGTCAATTTGTTAAGTTTTAGGACTATCATATTTGATTTTCATGGTTGTTTATGCCATGCTAAATGTCTATCTTGCATGTCCTTAATAACTCCTCGCATGGCCCTCTAAAGTAACTCATCATTTTTGCATGTGTTGGCTTTATTTTAGTGGTTATTTGGGCCTATTTTCACATGTTTTGTTCACTGATTTTTGCTGGTTTGGTGAGATTCCATATGCTTCACACACTTGCCATGTAAACCATGTTTACTAGTCAAAGTTGCATGCTACTTTATTCCATCTTGCTAGCACTTTTTGGCCATGCTTTGAACTAGAAATCTTCATGTGTTGGGATTGCCTTAGCTCTGTCTTTATGCTTCATGATCAAATAATGCATGCTTTGTATAGCTACAAGTCATTCCATGTGCCTAGTTTCGAGTTTCGGGGTTCATCTCATGCATCGGGTGCCATATTTCCATAATTCGGGACCATTTTTCATCATATTTCAGTGCTGGAATCTACATGCTTGTATGCCATATTCCATGCCTTGTTAGAGTTACATGTTATGCCTTAGGATCGGTCCTCGGTTTGTGTGCATGTGTGCACGCATTTCGATAGTCCCATTCTCACCTAATGGCTACTAATGTGAGTGTGGCTGAGGTCCACTCATGTTGGTGTAAGTCCATCGTGCATGGTGTATGCCATTTCATTTTATAGCATTGTGTATGCTAGGTTGTATGTTAGAGCATTGTGTATGCCTCGTTACATCGTGCATTGTGTATGCCATTTCATAGCATTGTGTATGCTAGGTTGCATGTTAGGATTGCATTCATGCATGTCATGCATATTGCATTGTGCTCGGGATAGGAGTTAGCCCAAGCACGGGAAACGAGGGATGTTTCGTACTCTGAGTGACGGAACGTGTCTCAATTCCCTGTCGTCGACATTCCGAATTACCCATGATGGAGTTTAGGCCTTGTTGTGTCCATATGTGCATTCAATTCATATTGAGTCGTGCAAATCAACTCCTTGGTCATCATGCATCGAGATGCGCGATTGGTGGCACGAGGATCGAGGACTACACTCATTGAAGAGTAGTCATGCATACATATGTGAAAATACTTTGCCATGCCTCTGTGTTGCTCTCTGTTGCAGCAAATCA